CCATACATTCATCCTCCACATCTCTGCTAAGAAGATCTTTTGAAACTTGTCTCTGTTTGCATACCTTAGTGTCACTCCCTTGCTTTTAAAATGCATCACCAGTTTCTTGGATGAGCACGAGGGCTTCTTCCTCACCCAGGCTGGCCTCCCTCACCTCTTCCAGTCCCTAGCCGCACCAAGCCCCTTGCTGCTCCCTGCTGCCTTCTCCTAGCTCTGGGATGTAGCTCCTCTCTGTAGGGATGCCTGCATCCTCCTTGCTCTGGCTGATGCCCCACCTTTGTGGACTTGCTCCCACTCTGTGATCCCAGCATCCCATGACATGGCTTCCACTTCACTGCCATTCCAGGGCCTGTCACTGCTGTAGCTGATGGCTCATTAGGGCAGGAGTGCTGCTCTATTCATTTGTGTGTCACTGATCCTTAACAGTGTGTTTGCTTTGTAGTAATGACTTGAATTATTTTGAGTACATTCAAGTTGGTGGCTTACAAATGATACGTGTTTTCTTCCTCTTTCCTAAATTATGAATAATCTCCACCAGTGTTGAAATCAAACAAAAGAAGAGATAAAAGATCAGCCTTGTTGCTGATAACATTAGAGACTGCAGGATAGATGAGTGGCTTTACTCCAAGATCACATGTTGGCATTTATCAGAGACAGTTTGGATTTAGAGAACACATCTATTTACACAGAATCACTTCCTCACACTCCTCAAGGACAGAGATTTGCCTCCAGACTCAGCCTGCAAGGTGGGCCTCAGGCCTGACCCGATGTGTTCAATCCATGCAAGCTGGAGCTGGGTGGAACACAGGTGCTCGGTGGGCACACAAAGAGAGAGAGAACCATGAATGCAGTTCTATTCCCAATTCAGCCATCAGGCCAGTCCTCCACAAGCTTGGGGGAGAGAGCTGAGTGGAAGTCACTCTTCTGAATGCATTCAGAGGCGGAAGTTTCTATTTTATGGATGAAGATGGTAAAACTGAGGGAAGGAGTGTGTTAGGGTCTTAGAGGACAGAGAAAGCATTTCTTGCTGATGTGAGCAGAAATGCATTATGGGATATACTGAGCATTACTGTTAATCCTGTTGGGTGGAAAACGGCGTAATGGTTACGTTAAAAACAGTCCTTATCAGTTAGAAAGGCACACTGAGATATTTTTGGGTGAAATAATATGAGGTCTTGAGCTTGAAGTATTTCAGCACGCACACACAAAAACCCAGAAACAAACAAACAAACAAAAAACCAAACCAAACAAAGAAACAAAACAAGAAAAGAAACAAATCAAGAAACCAAAAAGGCGAGGAGAGGGGCAAATACAGGTAAAACAATTGGCAAAACGTTAATTGTGGAATGGGGTGATAATAGGAGTTCATTATTCCATTCCTTTACATTTTCTACAATGCAGTTTTTGGGCAGCTTAAGGAATCTCTGAGTTGTCAACAAAGCCAGGTTGGGAGGTAAGGCAGCAGGAATGACACCCCAAATCAGCTATAGAATTGAAGACATGATGGCTTCCCAGTGCTCACAGCAACCAAGCTGGCCAGAGTGAATGATGGGTGCCAGAGTGAATGATGGGTGCCAGAGTAAATGACAGATGTCACTCTAGATCTGCTACCAACTCTGTGTCCATAAACCAGACGTTATGGTCACCCCTGTCCTCCTATAGCCAGAATGGACTTCTCTCCTTTGGATGACCAGCTTCTGGAACAAAGCCTGGAGCAGGCACTTCTGACTGGCTGAGCCCTGGTTATGATGCCCTAGTTCCCTGCCCTGAGCTAGGGACAGAGCACCTGGCAGGCAGGAGGTGGGCTGTGCCTCAAACAGTGAGAGATTCCTCCAAGTTGGGAAGCAATTCAGATCATATTTTAACAGAAGGATAAATATCCACTGCAAGGAGACAACGGTTCTCCCAATACTTTGAATATGATAAAAAATGTTATTACGTTTTCACTGTAACAACTACAGCTATTAGCATTTGCACAGTTCTTTGCAGTTTACAAATGTTTTCACATACATTCTCACCTAATTCTAAGAATATTATGTCTAGAGTTGACAGGATGGTCTAACATTTATCCCTCACAACAACTTGATGAGTCAGAACTATCCCCATATGATAGACATGAAAATTGTGGAAAAGAGAGGCAAAGTGACTCACCAAAATTCCCAGAGGTTTTAAGAGATGCCCTCAAAAGACAAACCCGGACCAGCCTGTGTCATGTCCCCTGTGACACCACCGAACTCTTAGTAAAGACTTCCAGTGAAATTGTTAGCATTTATTCTTCTCTATCTCGATCTGATCAAGAACCAAAAATTCATAGAGTTATGTCTCCCTTTGATAATATTTCTAGATAGCTTTTCTCATTCTTTTGAGGATTGTCCCAGGCAGACAGAAGGGCCGAAAATCTATGAGTGGTTAGAGTTCTGGACAGAGCTGCAAATGTGTATCTTATACTCTTAGGCAATAAAGATTACCCGATTCAAGTTAATTGTGGCTGAGGTGGTGGCTCCAGTAGAAGGCCGGTGAGTTAATTGTAAAATAATGTGAAGTATGGATTAGGTTTCCAGGCAATTAAGCCTGGAAAGTAAGTTGGTGCTACAGGACACTGCTGAGTCCCAAACAGTAAAGAAAATCAACGGAGATGATTGCCTGGGACTCACTACAGCCTCCCCAGAAAGTGTTTCTGCAAGGGCACCTGGAAAAGGGATGGAGATCTGCAAAGTGTCAGGGAGGAGTTGCCGCTCTGGATGTAAATAACTGGCCTCAGCACATTCCAAGGGAGAAAGTGGAAAAAAAGAACAGTGTGACGCTATGTCAAAAGAAGGCATCAGCCCAGCAAGCTCTCCCCTGCTGCTTAATACAGGAAATATCTCCCAAACATCTCCGCTAATCCTCCACCAATACAATGAGAAATGAGCGCCTCTGGCAGCCAAGCGGTTATTAAGCTAGGACAAAAAAATATTCCGCCCATAGCAACAGAGCCAAAGATAACAGCAGGGAATAGCGAAGCTGCAGAGAAATGGCAGATACAAAACATTCAATCTTGGGAGTCCCCCAAAGCAACTGATGGGTGAATAAAATAAAGTTTTGCCCAGGAAGCTCATCAGAGGTGGATTGTAAATGTCAGGACTCAGTATACCCGTGGCCATGCTGAACTCAGCTGCATAAACTAGAGTCATAGGTTGTAGAAATGACAGACCTGAAATTGGGCAGCACCTTGAGGCTTTTCGTGCTGGCCGCTGGCCTGTTGATGAAACGTACATAGGAGGCAGAATACCAACTGCATTCCACATTTGCAACACAGAGATTCTTAACTCTGTTCCTGGGGAAAGACTTCAGGGATAGAGGGAGATTTGCTTTCTAGTCAATATTTCTCCAAAACACTTGCTTTCTTTTTAAAGTGCCTACCCTCCTGATGTTTTTCCTAGTTCTTTGTCCCTGGGAGGGAACCCTTCCCAGGTATATGATCTCTCACCACTACCTTGTAGCTACTGATTGTCTCCATCCAAGAGGAGCAGTTTAATCTGCCATTTAATAAAGAGGTGGGTTCCTGCCTCAGGCATTTGCAGGCAGCAGCAGCAGCAGCAGCAGCAGCTGGTGAGAGGTGGAGCCAGGGCTCAGAATCAGGGAAAATGAACTTGAAAATTAACTTTCTATAACCTTTTACTATTTAAAAAATACTTATGTGTTCTTTGAACAAACTTGTTAGAGAGTAATAGAATTTTACTGTTTAAAGGACTTTAGAGATAATCCAACAGGTTTATTCTACAAAAGGGAAATTGAGGCTGAAAGTATAAAATTATTCTTCACGATGGGCCTAGACCCATTTTCCTGCCTCTCGGTCAGTGCTTCTCCATTCACTGTATTATCCTGCCTAGACCCCGCCTTGGTCTGGGAAATACGTACACCAGATGGTTTTTATGTTAGGATTCTTTTAGGAAGAAAGTAAAAAATATTCCTTCTCTTGGCAAACTCTCCCAATTTTATAGCTTAATTGGCCCATAGCAAAATTATCCAGGTTCCTTTAATTTCATCCTTGCAAAGTTTAAAATTTTTATTAAATTTCATTTTAAAAAATTAAGCCACTGTAGTTCTCTATGGAAGTGAAATGTCGGCTGTTCGCGCTAATTCCGAATCCGCCGCTTCGGTTCCCATGCGAGCACTCTCCCCGATCCCCCCTCTCTTTTCATCCTCCTCTGAGAGGAACTGTTCATAGGACGACAAAACTGTAGGCTGGAAAATACAACGCCCTATTCATTGTTGGTTGGTTAATATACCGCAGATGACCCCTCAAACCACCTAACTCCCCGCATGCTCTCCAAATGGAGATGGACTAGACCTGCTTTGGCCCGACGTGAAGATCCCACCATGTCTTCCCTGCACATGCTGAAGAACCTAGGCCGTGGACCACGAGCAAATTACATATTCTTCTTCACCTCATTTTCCTCATCTATAAAATAGTGATTAAATAGTACCTCCTGCAAGGGTCATGAGGGGTAAGTGAATATTTAATGAGACAATCCATTTAAAGGGTCTCAGAAGACTTGCACATAGTAAATGGTAGCTATCATTACTGTGACTAGTGAATTCACAAAAAAAAAGAAAAAAGAAAAAAGAAAAAATGGGAAGATTAAATTCTTGCAAACGGCATAGTCCATTCTTACCTTTAAGGACACTGACTTATCTCCAGATTTCAAATTGTTAGAGATACATCTATAAACTTTTAATCAGTTGCTTTTCCTCAAACTCCAATTTCAATCTTGTGTGCATGGAAAAGGCCAGCAAGTATGTTGAGAGTATTTCTCTCCTTTACCTGAACCTAGGAGCTCTCTGAATTCTCCACTCATCCAGACAATGTGTAGAAACAGCTCTTCACTCTTAAGTCTAAATTTAGCCAAGACTTCTTCCATTAACATTTTCAAGAGGAACACACACACACACACACACACACACGAACCTAGAAATAACTGAGCAAAAGTAGTTCAAGTTTCTTAGATTATACTCACCAATTATTCATTGTCGCAGCTTAGAAAGTACCCTGTTTTTACCTTGCGTCCTCGACTTGACCTGCTTAAATGGCAGTAAAAGTCTTATAACCCATGGCAGGCTTGGGCTGGCCCAGCTGCCGAATGTGGTAGGAATTCTCCCCCTCTTGGCGGACTCTCCTGCAGCCCTTTTATTAGCTAGGGGCTGTCATCCGCCGTCTCAGACCTGGCCTCCCAAGACTCCCCTGTCCTGGTCCCTCAGGTGAGTGGGACACTTTCTGTCTTCGGGCTTTAGGGTAGCCTCTCCCTTTACCTCTCTCCTGGAGATTTCCATGGTTCCAGTTGTACCTTTGCTGTTGATTCTTTCTTCTCTGCCTGCTTTACTGCTGTGCAGTTTTATTTGGCAGAAGCATGTACGTCAGCTGAAGTTAATGCTGGTTCTACCCTTCTCTACAGTTCATAGTCTTCATCCATCATCTTAACATTGCATTTGGGTCTGGCATTTGTGACAGCTGCTTCTTTCTCTAGGGTCGCCTGTCTTACATCACCTCCTTTCAAACCTTGAGTTTCCATTAGCACCACCCATTAGGTTCTTGTTTCCTGTGATCTAATTTGTTGTGAGCTAATCTGCTGGGAGCTGATTTGCTTAACAAAAATGATTGATACCTCCTTTGTCCAATAACTGTTCAAGCCTCTCCTGCTTCTGTTTTTAGCACTACCCCCTTCCTCAAATTCCCTTTAACTCATTCCTCTAGAGGCTTTAAGGATCTTCCTCAAATCAGTTTAGCAGAATCAAACATATTATGCCTATACTATATTTTCCACATATAGTAGATGGAAAAAGACACCATTTGCAAGTAAAGAATCACATTCCTTGTGGTTAGGAAGCACTTGGTTAGACAAGAGAGGTGATTTGTTTACTTCTCCTATGGATGCTGAAGCAATGCATAGGAAATGTCACTGCCTCAGGCAATCCCAACCAATTATTGCTTCCAGTTGTAACCAGTTTCCTGAAAGAGCAATAGGCAAGGTTTCCAGTGTGGTTCAGGGCATGTGTATGTAGAAAATCATAATTGTATTATGGCCAAAGAGATCCAGATATGTTCGCTTCTGGGGCTCTGCCTTTTCCAGACCCCACATAGTTATCCTGAGAACTGAGGGAATTACTATCTCAGCACATCCTCAACTCATTCTTCTCAGGCCCAGGGCTAGGAAAGCACTGCTCGAGGTTTCCAGTTGGAGTAACTTGATTTTCTGTTTATACCACTGCCCTTCAAACCTTCTCTATCCAATACCCTTTCTCCACGTCTGAAAGAAGTCCTGACAGCTCTCTTTGCTTTCCTAGGTATTTTGCGCGTGACCTTATTTTCTATTTAGCCTAAAGTAAAATGCAATCTCTCATCCACTTTAAAGCTTCTCCCCTTCCCAACAGTTCAATTTCAACCTCAGAAACTTATTGCGGGAAAGAGGATGGGCTCTTTCTCTCCTTGACCCTGCCCCCACCTCCCTGCTGTGGCCTCCTGGTTGGAGGCCAGGTAGTGAGTGCCAAGGGCTTACTTGGCCATTGCCTTCAATATTTGGGGTTGGTGATGTCTGTGTAGCAGACATCCCAGTGCTGGCTCTTTCTCGCCTGGGGCAGCAGTGCACCCCATTCAGCCTTTCTGCCAGGGTTGCCTCATTTAACCCAAGCTTTGCTATCTTCTGTGCCTACCCCTCAGCCAAAGGGAAATCTTAGTCATACTGCCTCATTGGTGGTGGAAATGCAAGTGGGTCCCTCAGCTTTCTCACCTCTTGCCTTTCCATTGCAGGTGGCTGGCCTTTCAACTTCTGCACACGAAGACAGGCCCCAGTCTTTGAATCCAGAAACACAGGACAAGCTCTTCAAAGGTCACTCCAGGCCCCTGATAGCCCTGGGGCTGTGTGTTTCCTGTGCTCAACGCCCTGCAGCTGACTCAAGCCAATCTCATACATGTGTCAGGATCAAGAGGAGAAATTGGGATTATATGAAGTCAGGTCTGTCGCAAGGCTCAGTACTTTTGTCTATTTAATTTTTAAGAATTAAAACCAAGTTCTTAATTTATTTAAACTATCAGCAATACTTATTGGCAGCTGCAATTAACATTCACGGGAGCCTATTATTGAAGACACGGTTCTGTTGTTTCTGACATCACTGCCCAAGTCTGTTCGGAATCTGGAGCAGCTCTCCTGGAGATGTCTCAGCCATCCTGGAGTCCAGAGACTCTCCTCATGCAAAACTTTTCCCAGAGTCCAGTCTCGGCCTTTTACTACGGTTTGTGCCCTGGATTCTGCAGCCTGTCTTATAACACATCATCAGAGTCCCTCAAGATTCTCAAATGATTACATTTCAAATGAGAGAATTTTAATGCCTTCCAGGAAAATGTAGATGTTTTTCTTAGACATACTCAGCAAATCCCATGCAATATATTGAATGATCTGTATGAAAATGTTTGGGCGGACATTTCCTCAGAGGGCAGGCTGCCACATTCCTTTCCCATGAGCACAGCTTTCTAGGTGGCACAGAGAGGTAATGCCCAGCCTTCTGTCTCCTGAGGACAGGTTTTATCCCATGGACACCCACAGCTGCTAGGAGCATGCAGAATGGGCACCCAAAATCATTGAGGCAAAACTGGTGCCAGCGGCCAGGGCATTGGAGGAGTGACACTTTTACCTTCTCCCCGGATCTCCTGCACTGAGAACATTTCGAAAATGTTACAAAGCCAACTGCCCACTATATACAGAGGTGGAAAAAAACAAACTCAGAAAATAAGAACAACAAAAGCCTGTAAAATCACAAACAAAAAAATCCAGCCACTGCCCATTACCCAAATCTGGGGGCAAATTCCTTCACCAGATTTTGTACTCTGAGTGATGTAAGAGCAGAATGTTCTACCAAAGGCTATTAAAAGCATTGAGAATATCATAGAGATGGAATCATACAGTATATAACCTTTGGAGACCAACTTCTTTCACTCAGAATGTCTTTGAGATTCATTTGGGTTGTTGTGTATATCAATTTGGCTTGTTCTTTCTTATATCTGGGTAATATTTCGTGGTATCAATGTGTCATAGTTTGTTTTTTCATTTACATATTGAAGGGCATTAGGGTTAATTGCAGTGTTTGGCAATTCTGAATACAGCTGCTATAAACAGGTACCCAGGAGTGGAATTGCTGCTGAATCACGTGATAAGTATATGTTTAATCTTATAAGACATTGCCAAACTATTTTCCAGAGTGTATGAACCATTTTGCATTCTCATCAGCACTGTCGTTCCACATTCTTGTCAGCACTTGGTATTCTCATACTTTTTCTTAGCAACTCTAATAGTTGTGTAGTGATTTCTCATTGTCCTTTTAATTGCATTTCCATAATGGCTAATGATATTGAACTTCTTTTCAAATGCTTATTTGCCAACTTTATATTCTCTGGAAAACGTCTATTCAAATACTTTGCCATTTTTGATTAGATTGTTGGTTTCCTTATTGTTGAAGCTTTTGACATATTCTGGATGCAAGCCTTTCTTGCATAAGTGATTTGTAAATATTTTGTCCCAGTGTGTAACTTGTTTTTTTAGTTTCTTAAGCTTGTTTTATGCAGAGCAAAGTTTGTGTGTGTGCATGTGTGTGCCTGTGCATGCACACGTGCATGCATGTGTGTGTGTTTTCCAAGATAACCAGTTTTAGGTTCACATGCATAAAAGGTAATTTCAGACACGAGACTGAGGTGCAAGATGAATCTCCTCAAAAAGTGAAGCTAACTGGGTCTACCCTTCAGCAGTCCAGGGATGCAGAATGTGTCCAGTCTCTCCCCTCCCAGACAGGAGGAAAATATGCACATCAGTGCACACCAATCAGAGAAGCCCCAGGAAGCCATGCAGGTGGGAAGTGAGGGGGCTAGCTCCTCATCAGCTGGGGAAAGGGAAGAATGGACCTCGTAGAAGTCTTAATAGTGTGGAAGTAGCAAGACTGCAGTCCTCCCCTAATACGGTGGTCCTCAGGCAAGAGGAACTTTGACACTCAGGTGGTAAAGGATGCAGTCGTTCTCATAGTGGTATTGCCCTTTACCATCAAATGTTAGCAAACAGAGTAGATTGATCTGTTACTTCATATGTGTAGCTCCCATGTTGACCTCAGTGATCCAGGGCCATCATGGCCAGAGTGCTCATGAGAGGGCAGCCCCTATGGCTTCAATGACAAGGGACATCGTGAGGCCTGGGATCACAGCATGCCCCATGTCCAGGACCTTCATGGAGGATCTCCACTGCCTCCACTTATGCCACCACCAGTACTTTCCTCAATGATCCCACTAGAATTTCTTCATCTATATAGGGGTCCTACTCCACAGAGACTTCCTCTTGCTCCTCAGAGTGGAGGAGGTGGAAGAGGTTCATTTTCTTTTTGGCCACCACAGCCTTTTTGGTATGATCCGCAGGACTTGGTTCTTGACTTCCCCCTCAATATTAGGCCACACTGCATGGGATCACCTGGGCTATCTCAGAAGGGGCATCCTTCCCTGGAGGAATTGGGGGACCCAGAAGATGTGGATCAACTGCCCATCAGTGTTCCCAGGGCCTCCATGGAAACCAGGCATAGGTTGCCAGTGCAAGGGGAAAAATGTCTTTGGACCTCCCAGGGCCTCCTGGTGGGAAATGACTGACTATTTCAATGAGGATCTCAGAGGTTAGGTGGCAAGAGCAACCAATTCATCTTATCTGAAGGGTCTGGTTGTTTTAGCAGTTCTTTTGAGGGCTGAGTGGGTTACCCAGGATGAAAATGATGCTCTCCTGGACATTGATGCCTCCTTCCTCAAGGCTCAGTAAGCCCTTCCAAGTACCTATGCTTCCCAGAAGATTGGCCCAAACAGGAGGCAACTTAGAACTGTGCCCCATCAAGCCACCTGAACCCTCAGACTCTAGGATCTTAACATATGGGTCTCATTAATGAAACACTCCTCATCTAGGAGGATGGGCTTATAGGGTTTGGGTTCATAGGGATCAGGATCAGTTCATGAGGAGTCACCTTGTCCAAAAAGACCCTCTGAAAACTTTCTTTCCCCCACCTCATCCTACATGTTTCACTCCTGACTGTTGCTTCCTGAAGTGACAGGAGGTGAGAGCAGTCCCAGGGACTGGGGACACATTCAGGGCCCCTTTACCTTCATGTTGTCGTAACTCAGACACTGGCCCATTTCAAATGCAGGTTGGTCTGAGAGTATGTCCCAGTTAGCCCCCTAGGCAAAGTCCTTGATCTTATTCACATTTCTTTGGTTCCATCCTCTTCAAAATATACGTATTCTCTCAGTTTGTTCCTGCCACGTCACAGTTGTCTTCTTGTAGTCTTTATAAATCCATTGGCTAGGATCTTCAGGATTTGCATCCAGAGCCTCTGACACCAAAGAAGCTGTCCTCATGAGCTCTGAGTACAATAGGGGTTACTGGGGTCCATCCTGCAGCCTCAGAAGGAGGTGCTGGTCCTGGGGAAGAAATTTGGTTGTGCTTGGTTTTGTGCATGCTTTTCCTTTGAAAGGGCTTAACTTGGCAACTGGGAGTGACAGCACC